TGTTCCCTCACACCTGCCTGAGAGTTTGGCTGGATACAGAATTCTGGGTGGGAACTCATTTTCTTTTAGAAGGTACTCCTTGCTCCATTATCTTCTAGTGTCCATTCTTGCTACAATCTAATGATTCATGACTCTATGTGATTTATAGATATTCTTCTGTCTTCATAGTGCTCAAAAATTTCATTATATGGGGACTTCCCTGGTGGCACAGTGGTTAAGAATCCTCCTGCCAATGCAGGGGACACGGGTTCGAGCCCTGGTCCGGGAAGATCCCACATGCCACAGAGCAACTAAGCCCGTGCGCCACAACTACTGAGCCTGTGCTCTAGAGCCTGTGAGCCACAACTACTGAGCCCACACGCCACAACTACTGAAGCACATGCACCTAGAGCCCGTGCTCCACAACAAGAGAAGCCACCACAATGAGAAGCCGGTGCACCGCAACAAAGAGTAGCCCCCGCTGGCTGCAACCAGAGAAAGCCCACGTGTAGCAATGAAGACCCAATGCAGCCAAAAATAAACAAATAAAAAATAAATTTCTGAAAAAAAAAATTTCATGATGATGTGCCTTGGCATGGATATTTTTAAATTAATTGTGCTGGATTCTTGGAGCGTCCTTTTAATCTAGAAACACACCTTTATTTGTGAGAAACTATTTTATTTTGGATGATTTCTTCATGCCAACAAACAATAACCACCCACTACCCCTCCTTGTTACAGACACCTACAAACCTGTAGGTCACTCAGTCCTCCACATTCCCTCAAGATTTAGCTTCTGGATCATTGTCTCTTTGCTATTACTACTCCCATCTTAATTCACGATGATCTCAATATGCACTGAGATAACCCTTCCACTATCCTTACCTCTCAGTTCCTTTACTCCTATTTTCCAATTACGTCCTCTATCCTACCTCAGCCACTCCCTCCCACAGTGCCCACATCCAAGCAGCTCAACACAGCTGAAGGGGAAGCATTCAACCATGCTAACTGGGTCTCAACCACCTTAAATTTATGACTACAAATGCCAAATGGGCACCTGGTGCCCTAAAATATTTCCTTATTCAACTCATTTTTTCCCACTCTCCTGGATGAATTTTACACCTTCTTTCTCTTCAAACTTCCAACACCTCCCCCACTCTTCATTTTTAGCTAAAGACCTTCCTTCTTATTTAACTGAGAATATGGAAGTAATCAGAAGTGAACATTCACTCTGTCCCACTACCAAGCTACCAATTCACCAGTATTTGGGTCAATATAATCACCACAGATGAACTGCCCATGTAGCTATTGAGCTTAAGGTCAACATATCCATTTATATCCTAGATGCCATTCCCTCTCATCTACTCAAGGACTCCACCCCTGCAACTGTTCCTTCTCTCTCTTTAATCATCAATTTGTCTCTTTATACTCCACCATTCCCATTAACTTACAAACATGCTATCTGCCCACCTAAAAACAAAAAGAACTCTAACACTTCGTGCCCTTCCAGTCACAGCCCTATTACTCTGCTCTCCCTTATAGAAATCCTTGAAACAACATCACTGTTACTATCTATACTCACACTCTTCAATTCCTCTTCTATATCCTCTTGAACCCACTGCACCAAAACTGTTCTTGTCAAGGTCGCCAATGACCTCCACATTACCAAATCTAATAGTCTATTCTTGCATTTATCATTTGACTATCCTTGATTCTTCCCCTATCTCAGAGGTAGGAAACCATTTCCCCTCAGAATTTGGAAGACACTGCTACACTGCCTTTTTTACATAGGATATCCCAGGGCTTGGATGTTGGTCCTCCTCTCTATCTACATTTACTCCTTGGGTCTCTATCTAGTCTCATAGCTTTAAAAAAAAATTTTGGAGTCACCAGTAATATGGGTGGTATTTCCAGTTTCAATCTCTCTCCTGAACTACAGACTAATATATCCAACTGCTAATCCAATATCTCCACTTGGCTATCTGTTATCTATTAGGAAACTCAAATGAACAAGGCCAAAATTGAACTCTATTTTCTCCACAAATCTGCTCTTATTCCAATGCTCCCAATATCAGTAAATGGCAACTCCATTCTTCCAACTGCTGAGCCCCAAATTGACTATGCTTTCTTACATTATTGTTCCTTCAGCCCTATTTCCTCCCCAATATTTACTTCTCACCACTCTGTATTATGATTTTTACCTCTCTCCACTTACAAAGGAGCTCTTGGAGGGCAGAGGCCTGCCTTATTGCTCTGAATCCACAGCACCTAGCACAGTGTATGTTGGATTATTTGCATAAAGCGGGAGTGAAATTTAAACTGTTAAACAAGTCCTGAGCAGGATCAGATTCCTCTGCAGGAAAAGATCTGAAGTAGGAAAGCATATTTCAACTATTTCCACTGGTTCCTTAGTACAAGTAAAGATAGTTATTTGGTAATAACTCCAAAATCTCAGTGGCTTGAAACAAAGGCTTACTTCTTGCTCACTCTACATGTCAAACATAGGTCACCTGGAAGCTTGCTCTGGTTCCCAGACTGAGACTAGCCACCATCCGGAGCACCAACAATCACCAAAACAGAGGGAAAGAGTGGCAAATCACACACCAGAAGTTTTTACCATGAAGGGATACACATCATTCCTGTGCACATTTCACTGACCAAAAGCAACTAACAACGCCATATCCATCTTCAAGGGTGCAAGCAAGTACAATGGTACCACATGCCCAGGAGACAGAAACCAAAGATATTTGATGGACAGCACTGATGACTACCATATCATTAAAAAGAAGCTTTTAGGTCTAAGCAACAATATTTTAACTCCTGATCTCTACTGCTCATCTGTGAAAATGAACTCCATTGCTAGAAGAGAACCACTCACTTGCAAAGTACTATCTATGGGTCTCTAGGAATGTAGCTTCACCAGTTAGGCCCGCCTCTTTCATCACTCAGGTGTCAGAGTGCAGCAAAGAAGCCAAATATGGGTGACAGGAAAGTGCTGAGCACAAACCTTCTAGAAACGTTCAATGTCAAAATCTGGGAAAGGCTTAACTGAATGAGTAAGAAAAACACGTTCAGTTAAAAACGGCAGGGAAAGGTGGGAAACTTTCACAAAATTTCTTTTACCAAAGGTATACAACCTCCAGGCCTTGGGGTTCCTTGCACTACCCCATGTCTGAAGACTAACAAGTTTCACTCAAACCACGTGATGGAAAATTCGGAGTTTGAGTATGATTAGTAAAGTTAGCCAACATTGATCTTTTTAACATAAAAACACTACGTACAAAAAAAAATGTATACTGACATGCTACCAGAAGCAAGGAAGGAAGCAGTTATTTTAGAGATGGATTTTATTCAGAAGCTCTTTTTTCCCTAAAAGTCTCAAAGACTCCAGACTTCAAAGCTCAAGATGATATGGGATGAACACCAAGTCTACATAGACCCTGGATTTAAAGTGTGGCTGCTTCAAGTTCTAAAGTATCCTGTGCAGTTTCTATTTTATTCAAAGTTTAAATACTTTCTAACAGTGAAACTGGCTGCCAGAAACGTTAGGACAGACTGGAGATGGTTACCATAAGCTGCTAAACACTTGCAACTGTAAAGCCCACTGAAATTCCACTGAAGAGCAGAACAGGAGTCCAAATATGTCACCTAATGTCACCTGCCAAATCAGAAGCAAATTAGGACTCCCAAATGCAACTAAGGGTATCTAGGCCCACCTCCCCATCCTTTACTTACTCAACCAACATGTGTTAGTAACTGAGGTGAAAGAAGGAATGTCGGTAAGTAAGAGAGGGACTGGATTTTAAGATTCAGTTCTTGTTCTCCATGAATCTGGTGGAGTTAAAACAAAATAAAAACAAAACAAAACAAAGAAAAAAACAGATTTGAGAGCAAAAATTCCAATACAATGCCTTAAATACCATAACAAGGATACAGGAAAGACCATTCTCACATGTTAAGCTGACAACCTTCGTTCAAGGAAACAACACCGTATTTGCTTTGTTAAGTAGCTAGAATAAAGAAAAAGCAAACAAAACAAATAAAAACCCTCTTCTGGTTTAATGACAGTTTAGCAGAACCAAAGCCCATTTCTCTCTCTTCCTCCCTTCCTCTCAATGGTCTCTGCCACAACCCCTCCATCATTCCAACCTCCACACTCCACTGGCGGCCCCAAACCAGCTCCATCACGAATAATACCGAGACTATCAAGGTCAGCTCCAAAGGCACAGGAAGCAGACAGCAGAAACAAATCTTCATATATCGAAAGCGGGCGGGGACCCTCCCTATACTGAGGCACCCGGGGGCTCTATCTCTAGGCTCTGTGGCCTGGGATCCGCAGCTTTCGGGGATTCTGGCCCCTTTTTCCTTATCCAGGCCCCTAATGACCTCCACCTGTCCTCAACCTGAGCTCCCCATCGTGGAGTGAGGGAGCCTCGGGCTGGGGCAGGGGGAGGTGGGGAAACGCGCAACAGGGAAGATGCTGTCCGTGTGGGTGTTTCTATGGGGCGGGAGGGAGGTACTCTCTAGGGAAGGCGCAGTGAGAGGGAAAGGCTCTAAAGGAGACCTACTGTAGGGGAGCATGAGAGGTAAGCCATTTCGAGGGAAACCCATTTGGGGGTTCTATAAGGGGAGCTATTGTGAGGGGACGTCTCCATAGATGGCCGTTTCTGGGGAAAATATCCTATGGGGAAGACAAGTGAATTAATCATACAGAAGGCACTGTGGAGGTTCTCGATAGGCGAATCTTTCCGGGGGGAAATGTTCTATGGGGTTGGGGATGTCATAATAGGGGGTCTTCACAGAGGAGCCGTTGTGGGGTTGTCGATACAGGAGCCATTGTGGGAGCCTCTGCACCGAGAGCCGCTCCTCGGGAAACGTTCGTCAGGGAACCGTTCAGGAAAAAAACGTCCGCAAGGAAGCCATATCGGGCCACGCCCTTCGGCGGGAGGCGTCTCCAGACCCCAACAGCCCGCAACTGCCTGCCCGCCCGCCAGCCCCTCTGCTGCCTCAGCCCCGCGTACCTGACGGAGGGCGACCCGCGGCCAGGGCCGCCGGGGGACCGTGCGCGGGGCAGTCCCAGCCGGTGTGGGGGGTACACGTCCATGGCTGCGAGAGGCGGAGGAGGACGGCGCCGCTGCGAGGGTCACTCAGGCCTGCGGGCGTCTCCTGGCCCGCTACGGCCGGGTGGGGCGGCTGGGCGTGCCGGGTGGGCGGGGGGCGCAGTGCGCGGGGGCACGTCGGGGGCGGGGGCACGTCGGGGGCGGGGGCGGAGCCGGGGGAGGGGGCGGAGCTGGGCGCGCGCAAAGAGCGCGGATGGGGGCGTCGGGACGGGTTGGGGGTGGAGGCAAGCGCAAGGCTGCGGGTCGAGTCTTTCTTAAGCTTCGAGGCGGCCAGGTTGGACGTTGGGAGCGTGGGTGCCCAGAGTGAAAGCTACCGCGCCGCCGCTCTGGCCTGTCCTCAGGCTTCGCATCGTGGAGTGGGACTCTGCGGCGCCCCCAGCCACGCACACTGGCGCGCCTGGGGGCGGGGCCTCGTTCCGCCCCGCCCAGTCCACTTCGGCCTCCAGCAAAGCCTTCTGCTGCCGCAGCAGGTCCCTGGCGCGGAGATCTGAACCGCCCTGGTGCTCGGCTTTCGTGACCCGGTCTCCCAGGCCGGTTCCTTGCTGCTGTTTCCTCACCCGCTGCTAGTCAATTGTGCACCCTCCCTTCAGACGTTCAGCCGATTTCTAGCCGACCTAAGGTTAGCGGTGCGCGCCCAACCTTGCGCAGACGTTAGGGGCTCACAGGGGCCCAGAGGATCCCTGCCCTTTACAGTTCAGATTCTGACTCGACCCGTTTCTGACTGCAGGGCCGTATGCAAGAAACCTAATCCCAGCGAGCGTCAGTCTTCGGTGTAATTGACAGTTTCCAGGCATCCTGTATATACAGGACGTATTTAATGATTTTGTCCTGCGTCGTATACTGACTTTGTCAGGATGCCTTAAATGTCCTGTATTTATCTTTTTATAATCAATTAAAAACTATTAGAGCTATTTTTCCGCCACAGTAATTGGTGCTTAAATCACTAACTGAAAATCCTACCTTTACAAATAAAAGATCTGTACAGTGTCTACGGTGTCTCCAGCGAGTTTAGCTGAGGGAAGACCAAAAGAAGGAACTAGAAATTACAAGTACTTATTTTTCATATTCAAGAAAGGAAAGGACTTTTTTTGCTCAAGTTCTAAGTCCTGATCAAGTAACCACCATTATTTAGAGATAACTTCACATCAGTACACAGGCTCTACAAACCAGCCAATCAGCGACAGCCTCACTCCAGTGGCTTCTGAAAATCAGCCAGTCAACAACAGCTTCACTCCGGTAGCTAGGCTTCTGAAAGTTCGTAAATCAACGACAGTCCAGAGCTTCTGAAAGTCAGCCAATCATTGGCAGCTCCATGCTTCTAGACAACAACCAATCAGCAAGTGCCTCACTCCAGGGACCAGGCTTCTGATAGTTAACAGGTAATCAGCTTCCTTACTCCAGTAACCACACTAACAAAGCTGGAAGCCCGTCAATCGCTAGACGCTCACGCTTCTGAAATACTGCCAGTCCCGGAAAGCTAGCTTCCCAAAACATTGGATTGGGTTGGCTCAGCTCCGACTTTGTTAAGGGAGACTGTTCCTTACAAGTACAGCTCTCCTTTGCAGGCAGACTAGATATTCACCTTTGAGTTCAATTTGCTTTTCGTAAAATTAAGTTCGCAACCCTTTCACGACTCAACTCCCACCTTACCGTTAGATATGAATTTGGGCTTGTGACAGATGCAATGATGCAGCCATGAGATTTATTAAATACAACTTTTTCAGTTCTTGCGTTGGTCGCTATTACCAATTTTTTTCTTTTATAATTCAATGGGTGTATTCACAAAGTTGTGCGATCACCACTACTGTCATTTTAGAACATTTTCAGCACGCCCAAAAGAAACCCTATACCTTTTAGTAGTCATTCCCCCATTTCTTCCCAACCATCCCAGCCATAGGCAACCACTAATCTACCTTTCTCTCTCTCTCTCTCTTCCCGCCCCCCTTCTATGGATTTGCCAATTCTGAACGTTTCACATAAATGGAATCATACAGTATGTGGTCCTTTGTTACTGACATTTCATTTAGCATAATGTTTGCAAGGCTCATCTGTGTTGTAGGATGTACAAGGATTTCATTTTTATGGTTGAATAATATTCTATTGCATGGTTATCTCACATATTTCTTATCCATTTCTCAGGTGATGGACATTTGTGTTGCTTCCACTTTTTTACTTTTTTTTTTTTTTTTTTAGCTAATGGTGCTGTGAACATTCGTGTACAAGTTCTCCTGTGGGCACATGTTTTCAAGTCTCTTGGGTATATAACTTAGGAGTGGAATTGCTGGGTAACTCTATCTTTTGAGGAACTTCCAAACTGTTTTCCAAAGCAGTTGGACCATTCACAGTCCCACCAGCAATGTATGAGAGTTCCAGTTTCTCCACCTCCTTACCAACACTTACTATCTGTCTTTTTGTTCATAGCCACCCTAGTAGCTGTGACGTGGCATCTCACTGTGGCTTTGATTTGCATTTCCCTGACAGCTAATGATGTTGAGCATCTTTTCCTATACCTACTAGACATTTTTATGTTTTTATGGAGAAATGTCTGTTCAGATCTTTTGCCCATGTTTTAATTGGGTTGTCTTTTTATTAAGTTGTAATAGTTCTTTATATAGCCTAAATACAAGTCCCTTATCAGGTATACAACTTGCAAAATTTTTCTTGCACTCTGTGGATTTTTTTTTCACATCCTTGATAGTGTCCTATGAAGCACACAATTTTTATTTTTGATGGTATCCAATTTATTTTTTTCTTTTGTTGCTTGTGCTTTTGGTGTCATATGTAAGAAACCATTGCCTAATCCAGGGATTTACCCCTACATTTTCTTGTAAGAGTTTAGTAGTTTTGGCTCTTACATATAGGTATTTGATCTATTTGAGTTAAATTTTGTACTTGATATGAGGTAGAAGTTCAGCTTCATTCTTTTGCATGTGGCTATCCAGTTGTCTCAGCACCATTTCTTTTCCCATTAAGTTGTCTTGGCACCCTTGTTGAAAATAAATTGTTACCTCGTTTTTATTTGCTATATTTGAACCCCTAAATGCCAAAATGCAAGTGTGAATTTCATGATACATTTTCTGAATTAAATGAGGAAAATTCCTTTTGAAGCTCTTTGTGCAGTATGCAAGTGTTCATTCAGTATTGAAAATGGTGGAAAGTCAGATATAAACGAGCATATACTATCAGCTTAGAGTAAAAGATGTGTGATTTCTTCAACTTGTATCAAAGAAAGTGATAAAATAAAATTTTGATTAAAAGAAATGTAGATGAAGAACATAAAATAATCACAGCAGAAGTTGTAACAGTCTCCCACATTGTATATTGTCATCAGTCTTTCAGCTCAAATGACTCTTTGAATGTACTGCTACCAGGAGGATTTTCTAATTCCAAAACTGGAAGCAAAATTTCAAATGCCAGGACAAAACCTACTGCAATAATTAAAAATATAATAACTCCATTTACTATTGCAGTGATTATCAAAGCCCTAAATGCCTCATCTTTTTATGGATTCAAGTAATGACAAAGCAGAAAAATTTGCTTGTGCAATAACCTTCTTGTGAAAAGGCTCACTTGTAAGGTTATTTTAAGTAAAGACTCTTCCAGATGAGACTTCAGAAACAAGAGCAAATTTTTGCAGAGACTCTCTTATTGACTTAGGAGTTAACAAAGAAAATTGTACTGCTTTTGGTGGAGATGATACCAATACAAATGTTGGTAGCTGTTCACATAAAAGTGCAGACATTGTTTATTCAAAGCTGAAGTAAAGCACGAATGTTTCTTCGGAAGCCGTTTGGCTATCTGGCTCATATTCTACATGGTGCTGCTCTTACAACATCTGATGTCTTTCCTGTTGACTTTGATGTAATTGTCATGAAATTTTTTCTTAAGCGCCAACTGAACAACTGAGGAATTTTTGTGATTTTGTTGGCATTCAGTACTGTTCATTTCTCTTGCATTCAGAAACTTGTTAGCTTGCTTTAATAAATGGAGAATCCTCAGTTTATTTGAAGTTCTGAATCATACTTTAATCCTAAAGAAAATGACCCTCAAATTCTTATTGACTTTAAGGGAAACTTAGTTACCTCTTGTTGATAGTTTATAATACCTCTTTAGCAATAGATTATGCAAAGTGAAAGAAGAGAAACCAGTGTTGTTGAAGCACTCCATTGCTTAAGGGAAGTGTAAAATGCACTAAAGAATGATTTTTTTTAAACATCTTTATTGGAGTATAATTGCTTTACAATGGTGTGTTAGTTTCTGCTTTATAACAAAGTGAATCAGCTATACATATACATATATCCCCATATCTCCTCCCTCTTGCCTCTCCCTCTCACCCTCCCTATCCCACCCCTCTAGGTGGTCACAAAGCACTGAGCTGATCTCCCTGTGCTATGTGGCTGCTTCCCACTAGCTATCTATTTTACATTTAGTGTATATATGTCCATGACACTCTCGCACTTCGTCCCAGCTTACCCTTCCCACTCTCGGTGTCCTCAAGTCCATTCTCTACGTCTGTGTCTTTATTCCTGTCCTACCCCTAGGTTCTTCAGAACCTTTTTTTTTTTTAGATTCCATATATATGTGTTAGCTTATGGTATTTGTTTTTCTCTTTCTGACTTACTTCACTCTGTATGACAGACTCTAGGTCCATCCACCTCACTACAGATAACTCAATTTCATTTCTTTTTACGGCTGAGTAATATTCCATTGTATATATGTGCCACATCTTCTTTATCCATTCATCTGTTGATGGACACTTAAGTTGCTTCCATGTCCTGGCTATTGTAAATAGAGCTGCAATGAACATTATGGTACATGACTCTTTTTGAATTATGGTTTTCTTAGGGTATATGCCCAGTAGTGGGGTTGCTGGGTCGTATGGTAGTTCTATTTTTCATGACTACCATCTCATGAAGAATTTGATTCTTGTACAAGAACTAAATACTCTTCCGGCATGGGAACCAGTGGAACCATCATGTATAGTGTTGAAGAAGAAAGGAAGAAAAATTGATGACAATGTTCTTTTTCTGTTACTGGATAACATTTTAAAAAGTTATTGAT